TCATGGTATCAGAGCATAGAAACACTCTCACGAGTTTCCTCCATCGATCCCTGTTCATCCTTTACCCTATTCATCCATGGCTTCCACCATCATCACCATTACCGCCTCCACTCACTTCAACATCAAACTCACTGCCTAGAACTTCCCCGTATGGAGACGCCACGTTCAATCCTCGCTGGTCGGCCTTGATCTTGCTAGCTACATCACTGGTGACACCCCAGCGCCAGACAAAACTCTTGCCGATTCCAAACCCAACCCGGCCTATGCCCTATGGGCTCGCCAAGACCAGAGCATCTATAGCGCTATCTTAGGCTCCTGTTTTGATGAAATCCAGCCACTTATCACATCCGCATCCACTGCTAAGGATGCCTGGGATCGCCTATCAGCCTCCTTTGCGAGCACTTCTCGATCCCGCATCATCTCTCTAAAAACCAAACTCACCAAAAATCCTAAAGGAACCAAGCCTGTTGCTGAGTTCCTCAATGAAATGCGCTCGATCGCTGACGAGCTAGCGCTCGTTCAAAATCCKATCAGTGACGAGGATCTTATGGTTCATATTCTCTCTCAATTGGGAAATGAATATGCATCTCTCACTGCYGCGTTCAAGGTTCGTGACACCCCGCTCACGTACCCGGATCTCTTTGACAAGCTAGTGGACTTTGAACGTTCCTTGGCAGCTGCTGAGCCTATTCCCTCCATCATTGCAACAGCCAATACTACCCAACGGCAGCCGGCTCGCAACTCTTTTCGTTCCGCCTCTGATCTGTCCAACCGAAACACTCGTTTCCAACCCTCTTCGTCCAAGCGACCAAATCGTTTCACCAAGTCTCAACCAAGTTCCAACCCTGCCCGTTCGGCTCAATGCTGTAACTTTTGCAACATACCCGGTTATGAGACCCGTGATTGTCGGAAACTTGTTAAGTTTCTCAAAGACAATCAAGTCATGTTAACAAACAACCCGTCCAACCCGATTGCTAACCTAGCCACGTCTGCTCGAGCAAACTCAATGTGGATGATGGACAGCGGTGCTTCCCACCATCTCTCCTCCTGTCCGGCTACTCTCACCTCCGTCTCCGACTACGGAGGTCCCGATGAAATCCGCCTTGGTGATGGTACTGGTTTAACCATCACACATCTTGGTTCTACTAATTTTTTCAATAAAACTAAATCATTATCTTTACGTGATGTTCTATGTATTCCTAGCATGCGTACTAATCTAATTTCTGTTGCAAACTATGTCGTACTAATCACGTTTCCGTTGAATTCTTTCCTCTTCATTTCGTTGTAAAGGATCTCAACACGGGGGCGTCTATCATCCGGGGGGAGAACATCAATGATGTGTACTACCTCAACTCTTCACCCTCATCTCCTCAAGTGAATGCAATCACCTCAACCTCGCCTCTCCAATGGCATCATCGGCTTGGACATCCGTCGTTTCGTATTTTTCAACTTCTTTGTAAAGACCTCGGTCTTAACTTTAAGTCCTTGTCAAGTTCTACCTTTCATTGTCAATCTTGTTCTATGAATAAATGTCACAAGTTGCCATTTGGACCAAATTCATTTGTGGCCACTAAACCGTTAGAACTTATTTACTCGGACGTTTGGGGACCCGTTCAACAATCCATTGACGGGTTCACATATTATGTTGTGTTTGTTGACTACTATTCCAAATATGTGTGGCTTTATCCCCTCAAACGCAAGTCTGATGTCTCAAC